TTTTTTTTTTTCTGATAAACTGATACAACTCCAAATGCGGTTGCATGCTATGAAAATTGATATTTACATCAGGAGTCCCAATCTTTGAAATGACTAACATAAATTTTAGTTTTGTTTTTTCCTGAAATTTTTTAGATTGAGGTTTTGGAGATTTAAAAGTAATAACTTAAACAGAAGTGAATCACATGTTACAGAAGAGTGTACCAACCATTTATCAAATGACCTTTGAAACTCTTAATCTTTGCTGTATCTGCCATAAAAAGTCGTTGGTTCTGTAGACACCCATATAGAGAAAATTATTTACTTCGGGGAATATTTGACATAAATTAGATAATATTTTTTGAAAAGAAATTAGATAATTTGTCTAAGATTATTGGGGAACTCATCAGGCTGTCGACAGAAGCAAACTGACTTTACTATTGAAACTTAGGTAGTGCTGTTTACCAGTTCTCTTTTTATTTCGAGGCATATTGTTGGTGGTTATGCGGTCAACTTTTTGAAAATATCTTTGAACCAAGTGTTACGGCGGAATAGTTTTTAATACTCATCTTAAAAGAATGCAAAGCTAACTTTTTGCTGGTATATCTGATAAATTGTCGGTTACTGTGCATTTTAAGTGTAACACACGAGGAAGTGAAAATCGATGTCATTTGCCTAACTAAAAGTTTTTTGTTGTTTTAACTGGTCTTTACCTTCTTTTTTTCTTTTTCAAAATGAAGAGTAGGTTTTTTTTCGATTTTTCACTATCATTGTTGCTTTTTTGACTCTTTTTGATTTGTTGGTAAAAGAATAGGGCTAGGATGTGATAAAATTGTTAATATTTCTCTACTTTTTAAAACTGCTTTTTTTAAAACAGTTTCAAAGAACTGCTAAGGAGGAAAGTTTCCGACAATTTAATCCGTCATAATTCGTTTTATAATTATTGTTAATTAGAAAGAATGTGTAGAAAATAATGTTTTGCCAGACGCATTGCTGGATGACGAAGGGTTTGTGTATATAAAGTCTAAGTCTGAGATTTCACAGGCAGCGGAGATAGGACAGTATTTTGGTAATTATGAAAATGTAACAGATGCAGCACAAATGAATTTGGAAGACATTAAGAAAAGAAAAGTAAAAAAGTGAAGGGCCGTGATGCAAACTTTGTTTCTTGAAGTTTATTATATTTTGCTGAAAAAATATTTGAAGTTTTGTCAGCAAATACTTTTTAGTTTCTTTATTTTTTAGTGTTTTCTTACTTAAAGAAACTTTTGAAATTCTATTTTAGAATTATCTTTCAACTTATGATGGGCCTCTTACGATAATGGCTTCATTTGTCGCGACCATACGCGAGATGTCAGATTTACAGTATAAGATGGTTGGCTACTGCATGTGCTCTGAGAGGAAGCTTTCACAGGGACAGCAGACAGGATAACTATTAAAATGGGACATGTGTATAAATAGGTGAGGCTTAATTAAGATCAATGTTTTTAAATTGATTTTGATCGGTCGCGTTCTTCTATTAGCTTCTGCTTCTCACGACTCTTTTCACATGCTCATAGGCAAATTCAAATTCTTGTGTGTGTTGTTGTTATTAATAGGGAATAGTTGTTTTTACATTATTTCTCACTGATTTGTTGTTTACTCTACAAAGTATTTAGTAATCATTGGGACTGCTGTCGCTGGCTTTTTATCGGCTGTATTATTTCGTAGTGCAGTTAAAATCGTAGAAATTAGGTTTCATAAGGCAATCAAGGAGAGACGACAGGGGAATCGGATCTTTGAAAATTTTAGGAGTTTGTATGTAGCTGCGACATTTGGGCAATTTTCAAAAAAATTGGTACAAAATCACTGTTTTTTTTCAAATTTTTTAATTGGAACTTTTACGAAAAAAGTTAGAATAAAATTTTTTGAATTAAGCAACATAGCACAAAATAAACCGCTAAATCGTCGCGGCGAGTCATCCTGACTACCAGTTCTTTATATACGATTTTTTTCCAGAAGAGTAAACCTTTAGCAAATTTGAAATGTTTTTTGATCGTTACTTTCAGTTTCTCTAACTTTTTACTTTAAATCCTTTGACTAGTTTTTTTGTTGTTATTTAAATCTAGTTGGTGTTTGCTTGTTACTGCAGAGGTGCTATTTCAACAGTTTTTTGAACACCGACTTTTTTCACTGATAATGGTACGGCTTCATCTTGCGTCTTCTGCTAATTTAAAACTGATAGTTATTAATGCGCAATTCCTCTTCAAACTTTATGAGTATCGAGGAGAAGGGATTTGCAGTGTTTTTATTGTTTTCAATAAATTATATGTGGAGGACAACAAAAAGAAGCACCATTTATGAATTATTCTGATATTCAATATAAATAATTCTCTTGTACTCTGCACATCATTCTCGTAAAAGTTGTTTTTTATTTGTACATGTAAACGAGCTGTTTGTCAACAAGCACTTTTTCTTTTATAACAAACTAAAAAATTGTCTTTTTGCAAAGGTTTCCTTAATCATCATTTTTTAATAATATCAGGTTAACTAAATGCACTTGAATTAATGGCTTCTCTTGATTTCCGCTTATGATACAGGAAAATGATTTTTAGTTCTGGTGCTGGTTTAGTTACCTGTCAGAATAAAGAATTATTTAGAAAAGTTTGTATTCTTTACTGCTCAAAACTCATTTTTATTCACTACCGACTTATAATAAGCAGTTATTTTGTCAAAAATGTTCTTTTTTAGTTAACAGGTGTACTTCCTTTCTAATACCGGGTGAACATTTCACGAAAAAATGTAGGACGTTATTCTGTACTATAGCCAAGTAAATTTAATGATTCTAAAAAGAAATCACTTTTGGATAATTTTACTCAACAATTTCTATTTGATTTGGCAAGTAAAGGACCAGCTAAACATTTTAAATGAAAGCGTTGACCGTTAAATCGGTGGACCCTTAGTAAAAGGGATTCTGGGACAAAAAAGAAAATTCAGTAGATGATTAAGTAAGATGGCGTTCAGTTACCTCTTGAAATGTTTACTTGAAAGGGAGGCAATTGGTATATGCAGACACTGGCAAGGTGATGGGTTTCTTTTTTATTATCTCTAACAGACGGTCAAAGTCAGGCAGATGAGGAAACAAATGCAACTTTTGTAAGTTAGGTGAACTGCACCAGTTTTTGCAGTTTTTCGACGGCGAAAAATTGAACTAATTTTTGTCAGAATCTTACCTTATCTATTTTACTTTTTCAAACTGGCATTTATTGAAACTTACTTT